ACCTATACTTGAACCAAGAGACAGTCATCAGAACAGAAGAAGGAGACATTACATGGTTCAAAATCAAGAAGAGGGTCCATCAGGGACCCTCCATACCTTTTCAGTCTATATGCAGAATAGATCATCTGAGATGCTGGACTGTATGAGGAAGAATGTGGCATCAGGATTGGAGGAAGATTCAACCCGCATTATGCAGATGACACAACCCTGTTTGCTGAAACTGAGGAGGACCTGAAGCCCTTGCTGCAGAAGGTCGACTGCAGCCTTTAATATGGATTGAAGTCCAACATCAAGAAGACAGAGATTCTCACTACTGGGCCAACTGGCAGCATCATTATAGATAGTGAAGAGATTGAAACTGTTAACAGTTTTAGTTTACTTGGCTCCACAATCAACATTCTTGGTACCAGCAGCCAGGAAATCAAGAGATGAATTGTACTGGGAAAGTCAGCTGTCAGGGACCTCTCCAGAGTACTGAAGAGCAATGACCTCAATCTGGATACTAATGTGCACCTGATCCAGGCCATAGTCTTCGCAGGATAGGAAGAGAATTGATGTCTTTGAGCTGTGGTGCTGGAGAAAAGTGTTGAATATACTATGGACTGCTAGAGGATAACTGGGATAATGGGGGTAGATGTGTTGGAGACAATGAGACTGGCTCAGGACAAGGCAGGCTTCAGAGCTGTTGTACATAGGGTCACTAGGAGAACAAACAGATTTGTCTTAGAGAGGGTGAAAATGGGCTGCTCCTTGGAGACAAGGATTCTGAAGCTTCGTCTGACATACTTTGGACATGTTACAAGGAGGGACCAGTCCCTTGGAGAGGGACATCATGTTTGGGAGGGTGAAGGGACAGCGCAAGAGAGGAAGACTCTCCATGAGATGGACTGATTCAGTGACTGGGATAATGAGGGTAGGTGTGTTAGAGACAATAAGGTTGGCGCAGCATAGAGCAAGATTTAGGGCTCTTGTCTATAGGGTCACAAGTGACTTGACAGCACATAACAAGAAACAACAGATGAGATAGCAGGAGATTTCAAAGGGCAGCTTGAGAAGGAAACATGAGGTAATACATTAAACTGTACAAAGACCTGGAGTTAAAAAACCAAAAGGGAAGAACATATTTCTCATGTTTCAAACTGAAAGAACTGAAGAACAGAGTCAAACTATGGGCAAAATTTTGAATGATTTAGGAAGCACAAAAGGAGATAGAAGGAATACACAGAATTGTTATACCAAAAAAATTTGATTGTCCTGAAACATTTCAGGAAATAGTTTATAATCAAGAACCAGTTTTAATGATGGAAAAAGTTCAAGCTGCACTGAAGGCACTGGCAAAAAATAAGATCCTAAGAATTGATGTGATACCAATTTCAGTGACATATTTCTACTAAGAGATGCAGCTGTGAACATGCTTGCCAATTTATACAAGGAAAATTGGAGGACAGCTGCCTGGGCAACAGAGTGTAAGAGTTTTGTTCCCATTTCCAAGAAAAGTGGTTAAACAGAATGTGGAAATTATTGAATGCTATCATTAATATCATATGCAAGCAAAATATTGCTGAAGATCATCTAAAAATTACTAGAACCATTCTTAAAGAGCTACCAGAAGTTCAAGTGGAGTTCAGAAGCGGCCAGGGCACTAGGGGTATCATTGCTGATATCAGATGGATATTGGCTCAAAGCAGAGAACACCAGAAGAATGTCTATCTGTATTTTATTGAATATGGCAAGACATTTAACTGTCTGCATCATAAACTATGGCTAAGATTGAGAAGAATGGTAATCCCAGGACACTTAATTTTGCTCATATAAACTCTATCCCTAGACCAAGAAGTTGTCTGAATATAGCAAGGGAACATTCTATGGTTTAAAATCAGGAAGGGTGTGCATCAGAGTTGTTGTATCCTTTCTCCATACCTATTCAGTCTGTATGCTGAGCAAATCATACCTAAAGTTGGACTCTGGAAGAGGAATGCTGCGTCAGAATTGGAGGAATATGCAGATGACACAACTTGCTTGCTTTAAAAATATTTTTGCTTATAAAGTGTACACTGTGTGCTCACTTCGGCAGCACATATACTAAAATTGGAACGATACAGAGATTAGCATGGCCCCTGCACAAGGATGACACGCAAATTCGTGAAGCGTTCCATATTTTCGACCCTGAAATTAACCAGTCTGTAACGAAGGCTAACTCCTTTCACCTACAAATTTCGTCTTTGGATACAAAGCTAAGTGGATAGTCCTTACGGAGGGACTGTTTAAAAAGAGGCATGGAGAAGAAAAGAAAAAAAAAGTGTACACTGTAAAATAGCTTAAATTTACATTATTCAGTAATGTTGGTTACATTAATATTTTATCAACTTTCCATCTGTTTTCATTCTAGTTGTTGCGTTCCCATTAACCTAGTGTCCACAGTCTCCCAAGCATCTTATTTGTGCTTTAGATAGCTTGTTGATCATTTGGTCTTAAATGGTTTTTAAACAAAGCACAGTGAAGGTGATATTTAACTTCTATATGAAGCTGACCTGCTACTTAGGGTAAAAGTTACTTTGATGGGATAGTTTCAATTCAGTACTAAAATGTATCAGGGCAGCAAGTCTTAGGGAGTCTTCTTGACCCTGTAAATCCAGTAAACCTGGATTATTTTTTTTCTGCTAAACTTTCTCTCAAGATTAATCTGTTGTGGTTCTGATCAGAAATTATTTATAGGTTTCTTATCAGATATTTGTTTGCTATTATCCCATTCTCTGGGTAGTTTTGCTTATTTCTTTATATTAAAGCTTAGGATGCTTTCATTTTGATTGGGTTCAGATTTTTTTTCCTTTTGATTCTTATGCTTTATGTGTTATACCTAAGATACAGTTGTTTAATTAAAGGCCACAAAGATTTGCAAAGATGCTCTAAGAAATTTACAGTTCTAGCTCTTCAGCTTGAGTTCTTGATCCACTTTGAGTTAATTTTTATATTTGTCCTGAGGTAAGAGTCCAACTTAATCTATGACATGTGGATGTCTAGATTTTTCCAGCACATCCCTTGAAAAGATACTGTTTCCCAAGTGAATTTTCTTAGCACCCTTGTCAAAACTCAGACCCTAGATGAATGTGTTTGTTTCCACACTTATTATTACATCCATTGATTTTTGTGTTTATCTTTAATCACAGCAATGCTGTCTTGATTATGGTAGCTTTGTTGTACCTTGGTGGTTTTTTCTTCTTTTAAAAGGAAATGTTCAGAAGTAGACAATCATTTTGCTTTTTTATGTTGTTTATCTAATTGCCTTTAATAGTTACTTTTCTATAGATTACTTTGGATTTTTCACTATTGTTAATTATTTTAGTTGTAAATTCTGACAACTATGTTTCTTATTTTCCAATTTTGGGGAGGTTCTTTTACTGTCTTACTGCACTAGGCAATACTTTCAGAACAGTTGGGGGTGGGTAGCAGTAATTGTAGATATCTTTGCCTTAATACTCTTTTTAAAAGAAATTTATTTAACATTTCAGCAATTATTACAAAGTTTACTGTATTCTTTTCCTTGGTACTATTTTTCAGCTTAAGAATAGATTCTTTCCTATCCATAACTGACTTGGAGCTTTTATTGTGAATAGAGGTCAAGTGTTAACCAACTACTTTTTCTTTGTTGAGCTGATTGATTTATCCTTTAATCTGTCAAAAATAATGGCTTTTTATGATTTTCTACTGTTAACATTTAATTCAACAATAAACCAAGTGAATCTTAATGTATACTCTTTTTAATATAACTTATTTTCTAGTGTTTCACTATTTTGCATCCATGATCATGGGAGAGTTTGTGGTTTTACTTTCTCTTTCGGGTTCTTCAGTGGTTTGGTTTGAAGATGTTAAGCTGGCCTCATGAAATTAATCTAGATGTGTGTCCTTTTATCTCTAGAATAGGTTATGTGAGACTGCAAATGTCTTTTCCTTGAATTTTTGAAACTTATCTGATGTTTCATGATGATTTATAAGGAAATTGTTTCATTTACAAATGCGACTGAAGTGGTGACTATTTGATTCATTGCATTTTAGCTGCTTGTTATTTCTGGGCTATTTGCTAGTCAAAGGTTACAGTGTAGCAGTAAGTTACTCCTTTGACTTTGGCATAGAGTAATGGCACTGCTACACAGATGACTCATTATAGTGCCAGCTAGGGAGGTTATCTAGATTTGCGTACATCTTTGACTTCCCCCGCACCCTATATAGTACAGACAGAAGGGTAGTGCTTCCTGCATAACACTGTTGTTGTTGTTAGGTATCCAGTTGACTATAATTCACAGTGACCCTATAAACAACAGATTGGAGCCATGCCCTGTCCTGTGCCATCTTCATGGTTCTACCATGCTCCGGTACATTGTTATGGCCCTGTGTCAGTACATCTCGTTGACAGTCTTCCTCTCTCTCTTTGACCCTTCACCTTTCCCTGCATGGTATCCTTTTCCAAGGACTGGCCCTTCCTTGCAAGGGGTTGGTGTGTAAAGTGAAGTTCGATTATCCTTGCCTCTAAGAAGCACCCTGGTTGTATTTCCTCTCTGACAGATTTGATTTTTTTTTTGGCAGTCCATGCGATGTTCACTATTCTTTCAACACCACAGTTCAAAGGCATTGCTGCTGCTTCTGCCTTCTTTATTCATTATCCAACTTTCACGTGTATAAGAAGCAGTGGAAAATACATTGGCTTGGGTCAGGCAGACCATAGTAAACTGATATCCTTGCTCTTTAGCACTGCAGGGAGGTCCTTGACAACAGATTTTCCCCATCTGACATGTATTTTGATTTCTTGTGTCTATTTTGTTGTTGTTGTTGTTGTTGTTGATTGCCATCGAGTCGGGCATGACTCATAGCGACCCTATAAACAAAAGTCCTGAAGCCTTTTGATAACTATCGTCATTTATCAAAGTTCATAGAGTTTCCAGAGGCATATTGTTTAGGAAGTGGATGCCACTCCTAGGCCAATTAAATTTCTGTTTGTCTTACAGAAGTGATAGACCTCACTCATGATAGCAAAGATGATCTTCAGGCTGCCATTGCTTTGAGTCTCCTGGAATCTCCCAAAATTCCAGCTGATGGAAGAGATGTTAACAGGTTAGTGATTTCATTTATAACCTTTCCTTTCCATATCAGTGTATAGGTCAAAGGCAGTATCTTTGAAATGTTACTCAAAAACAGCTCTATAAATCTCCTTTGATTGTAACTAAATGCACTTTCTTGTTGAATTCACAACAGTTTATTTAGTCTTTGAGCCACTTTTGAAAGAGAAAAATATGACAAAAAGTTGTATCCAGCCTGTGTTCTGCAGGATTTTATAGTTCACAATTGCTAGGAGAAAAAAAAAAAATAAAAACAGCCCCAACTCTGAAAATTCATATTCCCTTTATTAAAGATGTGGTGAGGAAAGGACTCAGTAACGAAAAAGTCAGTAGTTTGCACCCACTAGATGGATCATTGCAGAAAGATTTGCAGCCTTGGCCTTGCTAGCATTTCTCTTCTGTCTTCCATGGCTCCTGTAGTCGGAGTTGCCTGTGTGGCAATGGATTTGACATTTAACTTTGAGACTTAAATTATTGTGTGTTTGAAAATGGAAGTTTCCCTTCTCTGTCATTGCCTCATAAGGGACCAGGGGATATATTTTTAATGAGTATTAATTTGGTAATTATCTGGCCTTCCTACAAAATCTCTCATTCTAAGAGTGGTCAGTTTCTGAAAATGTTTAGTTTTTCACATGACTAAATTATCTTTGTTAAGGAATCAGTGGTCGGAGTTTTGTTATAGACATTTGGGAGGTTCTTATCCGTATCAATTTCTCTCTTTCCATTTTAATGGCAAAGCCTGAGATAAAAAGCTATCCTTGAAATACAGAACTTGTAGTTAGCAGTAACTCAAAATTGAACTGTCATCAAATCGATACCAACTCATAGTGGACCCTCCTTTAGTTTCTGGAGGCTGCCTCTCTTTCTGCCATAGAGCCAGTCACTGGTGGATTCAGCCTCTGGAGATGCCTGGCCTTTTGGTTAACAATGCAGCAACAATGGACTAAGCCACTAAGGCTCCTTAATTGTTGTTATGTGCCATCGAGTTGGAACCAACTCATAGCTGACCCTCAGCAGGTTTTCAGAGGCAGTAAATCACATGGGAGGAGATTGACCATCTTTCTCCCATTGACTAGCTTGTAGATTTGAACTCCTTGCTTTTGGCTTGGCAACATAACTCTTTACCCACTAGACTACCAAAGTTTCCTTAAAGGGGCCATAGTCTTAAATGTCAAGGCAGTTCCTCCATGGACCTTACTAGTGAGTATTAATCAATGTATGGACAGTTGAACATCCTTATATTTAAATTTTTGCTTTTCATGTATCTTATAATCACATACAATAAATATATATCTGGTCATTACTCAGTAAATAGCTTATCCATCATTTTGTTTACCTGTGAAATGTCATCCACACCTTTCATACAGTGTATTGCTCTTTAACATTTTTTTTAAAAATATATATGTATGTTGATGCAATGTAGGATCCAAGAAGTAACTTCTGCAGACACTAAACGCTCAAAGAGAAAACGCTGTGAAGTCTGGGGAGAGAATCCCAATCCCAATGACTGGAGGAGGGTTGATGGTTGGCCAGTCGGGCTGAAAAATGTTGGCAATACATGTTGGTTTAATGCCGTTATTCAGGTATGATATTTTAAAGAGGAAAATGTGCCATCAGGATATAATTTTGTAATTTATTAAATGTGAAAAACAACTTTTAAGAATTGAAAACAAAAAAATGAAGAGATTTTTCAAAGACTAGGTATTTTGGTTATTTTTTTTGTATTTTATATGTAGATACTCTGATGTTTAAATTTAGCTGTTGTTGTTGTATGTGCTGTCGAATCTCTTACAACTCATAGCGACCCTATGTACAACAGCCCTAAACTCTGTTCTGTCCTGTTCCAATCACACTGTCTCTAACACTCCCATCCCGATTACCCCAGTGTGATTGGAACACCCTCCCAAGCATGATGTCCCTCTCCAAGGACCAGTCCCTCCTTACAACATGTCCAAAGTATGTTAGACAGAGCCTCAGAGTCCTTTCCTCCAGGGAGCCACCTGGTTTAACCCTCTCCAGCATGAATCTGTTTGTTTTCTTGGCAGTCCATGGTACCCTCAATACTCTTCTCCAGCACCACAGCTTAAAGGCATCAATTCTCCTTCTATCCTCCTTAGTCACTTTCTAACTGTGTGATGCATAACAAGTGATAGCAAAGACCATGACCTATATCAGATGCACCTTAGTCTCCAGAGAGACACCATTGCTCTTCAATACTTTGGAGAGGTCCCTGACAGCAGACTTTCCCATCGCAATACGTCTTTTAATTTCCTGGCTACTGGTGTCGAGAGTGTTGATTGTGGAGCCAAGCAGACTAAAGTTGTGAACAATCTCAATCTCTTCACCATCCATCCTTATGCTGCCAATTGGTCTATCAACAATCTGCGTTATGCAGATGATACAACCCTGCTTGCTGAAACTGAGGAGGATCTGAAGCGCTTGCGCGCTTGCTGCAGAGGGTCAAGGACTGCAGCCTACAATATGGATTGAGGCTCAATGTTAAGAAGACAAAGAAAGAAATTTAGTAGAACTGAAAAAAATATCTGTGGTTGCAAATATATTGCATAAATATTTCAGATCAGCATATAGCATATGCTAAAGATGAACAGTCTCCTGTCAAATTTACAGCCTTTGAAAACCCACTGGAGGCTCAGTTGTGAGTTGACTCCAATTCAGCAGTATATAACAACATATTATTGTCAAAAAGAGAAACAATATATCACTGTCAGGCATGAGTGAATATGTGAGAAATTGGTTACCAAAAGGAACCATAGATGCATAGATAAGAGATGATATCTGAAACAGAGAAGTGGCAAAAGTCATGGCAGTAAAGAAGTTATGCTGGGAAAGGGCCAGAAAAAGAGAAGAAGACCCCAGTTACATGGATTGACCCAGTGACTAGAACACTGGGATGGATCATACCAGAATAGTGGGTTTGGTGCAGGACAGAGCCAAGTTCAGATCTGTTGTTCACATCATCGCTAGGAATAATAGGTGACTCAGTGGCACCCAACAACAACATAGGCATTTAGGAGGTAAAAGCCACAGAGTTAGGTGATTCACTGGGCATGACATATGTGCAGAGGAGAGTTAAGAAAGTTTCTAGACTGAGTAACCAGGTAAATGATAGTATCATGGGAGGAGATTGCCCATCTTTCTCTTTCAGCGCAGGTGGTGGATTCAAACCACATGTCTTGGGATTGGTAATACAATTCTTTGCCCCTGAAGCCACCAGAGCTCCCTTCAAAGGCAGTATTATGTAGGAAATATTATCTAGGTGTCTTCTCTGTGTCATGTCCTCAAAACAGCACTTGATTCCTACTTGTACAATCTCTTCTGACATGGTACATAGCATCTATACATCCACTCAAGCTGCAAAATGGAGTTCTTTCTTTTACCACTATGTACATTTGTTCATTTAAGTTAATAGCGTACTTAGCAGTGTTTCAGGCCATGAGGAAACAGCAGTGAATAAAACAAAGCCCAGCTCTTATGGAATTTACTTTAAAAAAATAAGTCAGACAGTACCAAAAATGTATATCAGGTGGTGAGTGCCTAAAAGATGAATGAGGATAAGATCACTGGGCGTGAGAGGGTCCCCTGGAAAGAAAAGTATTTTATTTACATAGAATGATTGGGGGTGACCTTTTTGAAGGACATTTGAATAGAGGCCTGAAGGTGAAAAGGGAATAAGCCAAAAAATATATTATTTAATCTTAATCGAATAGATTTTCTGAATTTGTGATTTGAGAATTGACACTTTTCCAGGTATTGACATAGACTGGGTGTGGCTTTTGATGTGGATGATATAGGTAGAGTGGAAGAGCATGTTACGAACAATAATATGCCCAGGAAACCAACAGTTCCCTCAGTGATTACTTGTTTAGTACCTGCTTCCTGTGTGTTTAGTACTGTTTTAGGCCCTTGAGTCCCTGCCTTTATGGAAATCAAGGTTTTTGTGAGGTGAGACAATGGACAATTGTACACTTTTGTTTAATTTGTTAGACTGTGATCATTATGATAGAGGGGGAAAAAGATCTGGTAGGAAAATTTGAAATTGCCATGGGTGGAGCAAGTTGTAATATTAGCTGTGGTACTGGATTTGGCTTCACTAAGTTGATGAAATTTGAGCGACTACCCGAGTGGTGAGAGTGAACCATGTATGCCCATCCTGCGGGGAGAAAAATGGCCTTAACGTAGGAGCAGAATTGGTATATCAAGGACTGGCCAAAATGCAAAGAGCAAAGGAGAAAGCCATCAAAGACAAGGTTGGGGAGGGAGATCATGACCTTTATTTTGAGTGTAGGTTCTATGATGAAGATCGAGGAACTCCAGGCTGAGTCTTCAGGGACCCATTCTGGCTATTATGTGGACAATGGAATGGAGGAGACCAGGGAGACAGATGGCGAAACTTGTTAAGGGAGCTGAAGCAGGAGTCCATGTGAAGAGACTGAGACATGGTTGTAGCAGTAGAAGTTGCAAAGTAATTGAATTATTGAGACATGTTCAAGGTAATGCTGACAGAGATGTCCCTATGAATCAGATGCTGCCTGAAATCACCTAGATGGGGCAGGATTTGGGGGGTGAGGAGACTGCTACCTCTTGATAATCTTCATTGATACCAGGACTTTATTTTGTTCATGTTAAAAAGATCGATTTAAGGATCTGGGTGGCAGGTAGATTGATGGAGGGAGAGTTCTAGAGTCAGGAGATCATGTGCATTAATGAGAATTTTATTAGAGCCTTTGCTGAGGAACTGGTGGGGAGGAGGGCATTATAAATACCACCTCTGAGGCAGAATCCAGGGTTCTTGTTCCTTAGTAAAGGTGGATGATTATTAGTTAAGAAATGGACAAGTTATTCTCAAGCTTTTAAGATGTCACTGGAACAGAGGGTATATGATTAAGTAATGTAGACAACACAGGAAAGGAAGCAGATTTTAGTGAAAATATATTGATAATGATTTGGGAAATATGCGAGCAATATTGACACGATACTTTTATGATTTTTAAGAATAATGACATTGTTAGGGAAAGTCAGATTTTAATGAAGGTGAAGCGGGGAAAGGGCGTGATTAAGAACGTAATGTCATTTTTCTCATGGTACTGAAAAGGACCTGAAGCACCTACTGCAGAGGGTCAAGGACTGCAGCCTCCAATATGGATTGAGGCTCCATGTTAATAAGACAGAGATTCTCACCACTGGACCAATTGGCAGCATCAGGATGGATGGTGAAGAGATTGAGATTGTACACAGCTTTAGTTTTCTTGGCTCCACAGTCAACACTCTTGGCACCAGTTGTTGTTGTTATGTGCCATCGAGTCGTTCGCGACTCATAAATTAAAAAGCGCATTACCATGGGACAGTCTGTTGTTAGGGACCTCTCCAAAGTAGAGCAATGGTATCTCTCTGGAGACTAAAGTGTGTTTGATACAGGCCATGGTCTTCACAATCACTTGTTATGCATCAGAGAGTTGGACAATGACCAAGGAGGATAGAGGGAGAATTGATGCCTTTGAGCTGTGGTGCTGGAGAAGAGTATTGAGAATACCATGGACTGCTAGGAAAACAGACAGATTCATCCTGGAAAGGGTTAAACTGGGTGGCTCCTTGGAGGCAAGGATTCTGAGGCTCTGTCTAACATATTTGGACATGTTGTGAAGAGAGATCGGTCCTTAGAGAAGGATATCATGTTTGGGAGGGTGGAGGGACAGCACAGGAGGGGAAGGCCCTCTATGAGGTGGATTGATTCAGTGACTGGGATAATCAGGATTGGAGTGTCAGAGACAGTGCGATTGGCACAGGACAGAGCAGAGTTTAGGGTTGTTGTACATAGGGTCGCTATGAGTCACAAGTGACTTGACGGCACATAACAACAACCAAAACCCCAAAGTAGTTTAAACAGTCAGCAGAGTAAAAATGAAACTGAGAGGAAGAGAGAAGCTATGTAGACAGGTAAATGGAAAATGAAAGGAGGATAGAGGAACTAACCTATCTACAGTTTATAGAGAAAACTTTAGTTTTATCATTTAGGACTTGATTTTAATTCCTGAAAAAAACGAACATAAGCAAACAAACTATATTTCATTGCCGTAAGAACTGACTGTCTGGTAGGTTTTCACAGGCAGGAGGGGATTGCCCATTTTTCTCCACTAGAGCTTCTAGTCCACTGTAAAAACGTAACCATTGGTTAACTCCTCATCAGGGTTTGTGATAGTTTCAGGGAAGTGAGTTTATAAAAGTGGTAAGTAAGAATCACTTTCCAGAATTCTGCCAGAGATACCAATTAAAATTTTAAATGCAGCGTTTAAAACAAAGAACAAGGAGAATAATAAACAATAACCCTCCAGCTAATTTAAGGAACAAAATATTTCAATTTCCTGTATGTATTGAATCCCTGTTGTACTTACATCCTCCCCACCGCAGGTACATGCACATACATGTATCCCTAAGCAGTATATCCTTTTGCTTTTTGTATTACTAATCTAAATAATATAATACAGTATTTCCCTGCAACGTCTTCACTCAAAATATATTTCTGAAATTTATCCTTGTTGATATTTTGTGACTCGTCCATTTCCTGTCACTGCTGTACAGCCTATTTTGTGAAAATTATTTTCTGTAATATTAACTACATAGTCACCGGTATAATCTATATTATTAATCTGCCAATCTTGTTAACTCTTAGGTTCTTTCAAAAGGATTGATAGTTGATTAGCTAAAATTTTTTTACATAACCATAATTATTTAGTAGAATTGCTAGATTTACAGGTATATCTTTTTTTACATAACCATAATTATTTAGTAGAATTGCTAGATTTACAGGTATATCATTTACTTGGGTAAAAATATGTTTCTTTAAACCTAGTTTTGGTTTTTTTCTTATTTCAGTCTCTCTTTCAATTGCCTGAATTTCGAAGACTTGTTCTCAGCTATAGTCTGCCACAAAATGTACTTGAAAATTGCCGGAGTCACACTGTAAGTTGATATTGAGACATTTCTTTATTGTTGTTTAGTCTGCTGCATCTGAGAGACTTTAAAGTTTTTATCTAAAGGTGGTAACCACAGTGTGTTCCTCGCCTTGTGTTACTACTTGTTTTCATTTCTAAGTTACTCCTTTTCTTTCTTTGTTAAAAAGGGAAATAAGCAGTTGTAAAAAATGGGAAATTTATAGGGTGGGAATAATAATAGAAAAACTTGGCAAAAAGTATGATGCATTATTATGACCTCAGTTTTTATCTCTGCGTAGAAAGATTCTGAAATCCCTTTTCTGTTTATGGCATTCTTCATGGTTCCATTTCGCTACAAAGCCCAAGTGAAGCAGAATAGATGACCTGAGGCCAGAAGCCTGGGTCAACCTTAGAAGAGGCTTGCCAAAGGCTGTGGCTTCTTATAAGTCATATAATCTTTGCCAGATTTTTACCACGAAAGTGCATTTTCCTTATTTTTTTCCCTACAGAGAGGGAGGGTAGCAGCCTCAGAAAACAAACATTTTGTTGTTTTGACTATATTAACTCTGGTTTCTACATAGATGTCCTTTAAACTAATAAAATAATTACTGCCAGAGTTCTTGGAATGTGTCTCATTTAAAATCTAATACTGATCCAGATCTATATAAATATAAACTAGAGGTGAATTGTTGGCATTAACGTCAAAATATTTTGTGAGAATCATTGACAATAATCTCACATACTTTGGGCATGTTGTTAGAAGAGGCTACTTCTTGGAGAGGGACACCCTGCTCGGAAAGGTGGAGGGTTGACGAAAGAGGAAGATCTTTAACTGCATCAATTGAGAGAGCCTGCAGCAATGGACTCAATCATCTCAGAGATTGTGAGACTGGCACAGAACAGGACAGAGTTCACAGGCTTGCTCTTGACTCAGAGGCATCTAACAGCAATGGTCATTGACAGCTTTTCTCATTCTATATTCTAATTTTCAAAATACAGTGTTGTAAGAAAACTCATTGTATTTTCTGCAGGAAAAGAGAAATATTGTGTTTATGCAAGAGCTGCAATATCTGTTTGCTCTGATGATGGGATCAAATCGCAAATTTGTAGACCCATCAGCAGCCCTGGATCTCTTAAAGGGAGCATTCCGTTCATCTGAGGAACAGCAGGTATGAAAGAGAAGACCTGGTCTCTTCCTCTTCTTTAGACTTCATAAATGCATTGCCATTGAATCTCTTCGTACTTATTGAGACGCTCCATCAAGTTCCCAAGGCTGTGAATATTTATTTATGGGAGGGGACTGCCTATCTTTTTTCAAAAAAACTACTTGGGGGTTCGGATCCCACTGACTTTTTAAGTTAAGAGCTCAACATGAAGTATACCACCAGGGTTCCTTTTCCAACCCTGTAGATGTTTCAAATTATACTGTATTTATAATTAGTAATATTGCTTGATTTCAAATGTGTAAATTCTAAACATGACTGGGTAAGACTGTGGGCATCTGTCTTTACCTTTTATAATACCCCCAAAAAAAGAGAGAGAGTGTGTGTGTGTGTGTGTGTGTGTGTGTGTGTGTGTGTGTGTGTGTGTAAGAGAGGGAGAGAGTGTGACTGTGACTGTGTGAGACGTGAGGCAGGCAGGGTATGGCAGGTTTTCTACAGAGAGGATGAAACAGTAGTAGAAAGTAAATGTCAGGTGCCATTGAGTTGAGTGCAACGCATAGCAGATGAACAAGAGCTCTGAGCCTTGTCCTATCCTGTGTCATTCTCTTTATCTCTGATGCACTTGAGCTCATAGCTGCAGTCACAGTTTCAGTCCATCTAGTTGAAGATTTTCCTCTCCTTCACTGACCCCCTACCATTCAAAGCATGATGTCCCTTTCCAGAAAATAACCCCTCCTAACAGAGTTGCAAAAGTACGTGAAACAATGTTTCACCATCCTTGTCTCTTAAAGAGGGAGTTCTCAGGCTGCACTTTCTCTAAGACATACCTGTTTATTCTTTTTGCAGTCCATGGGACATTCAACACTCTTCTCCAACAACACAACCCAAAGGCATGAATTCTTCTATGGTCATCCTTATTCATTGTCCAGCTCTCAGATAACATAGCAAGATTATGCTAATTATTATTATTATTATTAATTGCCTTCCAGTTGAGCACAACCTATGGCGACCCTATGAATGAAAAGCTTGAAGCCCTTCTACAATTGTCAAAATTTATCAAAGTTCATAGAGTTTCCGGAGGCATGTTGTTTAGGAAGTAGATGCCACTCCTGTTTCCAAACCTGTCATAGTATGTTATTGTTGTTATGCGCCATTGAGTTGCCCTGCGATGGATAGTGATCCTATGTACAGCAGCTCTAAACTCTTCCCTGTCCTGAGCCAGTGTCACTAATTCTGACACACCAACCCCCATTGCCCTAGTTACTGTATCAATCCATCTCATCTCAGGTCTTCCTCTCCTGCACTGTTCGTGCACACTTCTGAGAATAATGTCCTTCTCCAAGGACCGATCTCTCCTGGCCATGTGCCCAAAGTAAGTGAGGCAGAGCTTCAAAATCCTAGCCTCCAAGTTATGCTATTGTTATTGCTATTATGCTATTATTATTTAAAGATTATTGAAAAGATTATGGCCTAAATCAGGTGCATCTTAGTCTTTAAACTGACATTATTACTCCTTAATAATTTAAAGAGATCTCTGATAGCAGATGGAGAAGAGACTGAGATTGTTAATAATTTCATCTTACTTGGGTCTACAATTATCACTCTTGGCACCAGCAGTCAGAAAATCAAAAGAGGAATTGCATTAGGAAAATTGGCTATGAGGGACCACTCCCAGAATGCTAAGGTGCACCTGAACCTAGCCATGATTTCACAATTACTTGTTATGCATCTGGGACCTAGACAATGACTAATGATGACAGAAGAATTGTTACCTTTGATCTGTGGTGCTGGAGAAGGGTCTTGAGCCTACCATGGACTGCCAAGAGAACAAATAAGTCTGTCCTGAATGACGTGCAACCATGTTGCTCCTTGGAGGCAAGGATTGTGAGGTTCTACCTCACATATTCTGGGCATATTTTGAGGAGGGATCAGTCCTTAGAGAAGGACATCATGCTTGGAAGGTGGAGAGACTGCAAGAGAGGGAGATTCTGCATGAGATGGATTGGCATAGTGACCGTCCTCAAGATATGGCAGAATTCAGAGCCATTTTCCAAAAGATCACCATGGGTCATAGTTGACCTGACGGCACATAACAACAACTGGCAGCAGACATGTTCCAATGCAACATATCATTGTTGTTGTTATGTGCCATCGAGTCACTTGCGACTCATAGCGACCCTATGCACAACAGCCCTAAACCCTGCTCTATCCTGTGCCAGTCACACTGTCTCTGACACACTCATCGCGATTACCCCAGTCACTGAATCAGTCCACCTCATAGAGGGTCTTCCCCTCCTCCTCTGTCCCTCCACCCTCCCAAGCATGATGTCCCTCTCCAAGGACCTGTCCCTCCTTACAACATGTCCAAAGTATGTCAGACAAAGCCCCAGAATCCTTGCCTCCAAGGAGTAGCCTGGTTTAACCCTCTCCAGGATGAATCTGTTTGTTTTTTTGGCAGACCATGGTACATTCAATATTCTTCTCCAGCACCACAGCTCAAAGGCATCAATTCATCATATCATTGTAGATTTAAGAAAAATGAAGTCCTTGACAATTTCACTCTTCTGTCTGTCATGATATTACCTGTTGACACAGTGCTGAGATTGTTGTTGTCTTGTTATAGAGATGTACTACACATTGAAAGCTATGATCTTTGCTCTTCTGCAGTAAGTGTCTCAAGTCCCTCCTCACTTTCAGCAAGCAAGGTTGTGTCATCTGCGTAGTGCAGGTTGTTGATGAGTCTTCCTCCACTCTTAATGCCACATTCCTCTTCATAAAGTCCAGTGTTGTATAAGGACTGTTGAAATGGAAAGAAGTCCTGGTTATGCAGTGCTTAAGTGCTTGACTGCTAACAAAAGGTCATTGACTTGAACACACCAGCCACTGACAAGGAGAAAGCTGTAGCAGCCTGCTGCTATATTGACAGCTTTTGACACTCTAAGGGACAGGTCTCTTCTCTAGGGTCACAATGAGTGGTGACAGATGGATGGTACCATTCAAGTAGAAAGGAATCAATTCACATGTTTTCCTCATCTATGCAGGTATTTTCCTGCAGATATAATTCCTCAAAGGAATTAAGTCCTTTGCATTTATGTCTTGAGATTAAAAATGGAAATAATAATGGAAACTAGTTTCAAACTGGAGTTCAATTTTTCTGAACAGTTTCCTTCACAATTTACTACAAGGAGCCTTGGTGGCTGAGTGAATAAGATGTTGCACACCAGCTGCTCAGTGAGAGAAGGAGGACGCCGTCTGCTTCAGTAAAGATTTACAGCCTTAAAGGGCAGTTGTCTGTCATCTGTGGTTGCTCTGTGCCATCCAGGGTTGCTGTGAATCAGAACTGACTCACTGACAGTATGTGGGTTGTCGTGAGACTTAGAGCTTCTTTACCTCTTCCTCTGCCTCCGACTGAAAAGCAAAGCTGTCACTTTTAGAACAGCTTCTGTTGTTGTTGTTATGTGCCATCGAGTCGTTTCCGACTCATAGCGACCCTATGCACAACAGCTCTAAA